ATGGTTAGGAAACGAATCTGCAGAGTACGCAAAGAGGATCCGGTTGGCAAACATTGACGACCCTGCCTCAAGCCTGCATGCGGTGTGGGAGAGGCTCGATGAGTGCTATGGTATCCCAGAAACCATTGAGAAGGCTCTCTTCAGGAAGTTGCAGAACTTTCCAAAAATCTCTGGTCGAGACAATAAAAGGTTACAAGAGCTTGGAGATCTTTTGATGGAGCTTGAATCAGCCCAGGTGTACCCCAACTTACCAGGTCTCATTTTCTTGAAAACTTACCATGGCGTAAACCCCATCGTAGAGAAATTGCCATTTGACATGCAGGAAAAATGGAGAATAGCGGGTTCAAGATACAAGTCAGAGCATCAGGTTGCATTCCCCCCATTATCCTTTTTCTCAAAGTTTATCCGCAACCTGGCTTGGACCAGAAATGACCCGAGTTTCATGTTTGGCATCACGGGGATTTCCAGTCCAGATCTCCCAAAAATGGAAAGGGCAACGGCGAAAGGAGGAACAGCGAGAGTGCCAATTTCCATACACAAGACTGAGGTCTCTTCTATGACATTCGCAAACTCCGTCCAGGCAACCATCACAAATAAGAAGATAGAGGATCCAAAAAAGCAATACTCATTGCATGATAAACCTCACTCCCTCCAGAAATGACATGAGTTCAGGAGGAAGCCATTGGAAGAGCGGAAGAACATGCTGAAATAATTTGGAGTGTGCTTCAAATGCTATGCTTCTACAAACCACCTTGCAAGTAATTGCAAGGCAGATATCAAGTGCGAGGAATGTGGCAGTGACAAACACGCAACTGCTCTGCACACATTTTACTCCAAACCCAGTGGCACTAAGGCTTCCGATCCCAAAGCAGAGCACGGTGGGGAGCAAGGCGAGACCGTCGCACTCACTTCGTCAATCACAACCAAATGCACATAAGTCTGTGGAGAAAGCTTCAAAGGAAAGTCTTGCTCAAAGATATGCCTCGTCTGAGTGTATCCCAAAGGACATCCTGAAAGGGCAGTAAAGATGTATGCCATAATAGATGACCAGAGCAACAAGTCTTTGGCAAGGTCAGAGTTCTTTGATCAGCTAAGCGTATGTGAAAATTCCTTTCCATACACGCTCAGAACATGCTCAGGACTGATGGAGACAGCAGGAAGAAGAGCGAGCAGCCTCTTGGTGGAAACCATGGATAGCACCATGAAGTTAGGCCTTCCTATGGTGACAGAGTGCAATGAGATACCGGACGACAGGAGTGAGATTCCCACGCCCGAAGTCGCACGTCACCACCCACATCTGAAATCCATAGCAGAGTTCATCCCGCCATTGGATCACGGGGCACAGATGTTACTTCTGCTTGGCAGGGACATGCTGAGAGTCCACAAGGTTCACGATCAACGCAACGGACATCACGACGCTCCCTATGCCCAGAGACTCGACCTAGGATGGGTCATCGTAGGTGATGTCTGTCTCAATGGAACACACAAACCAGACCGCATTAGCACATTCAGAACAAGTGTGCTCACAAATGGACGCACGAGACTCTTCAAACCGTGCCCCAACCACTTCACACTGAAAGATAAACTCGAAGAGAGAAGTCAAGGCTGTACCGTGCAGACTTACAAAGAAACCACCATGCTCACCACAACTTTGCTTGTACATCCACCGTCTTCACTGGATTTTGTTCCTCCACGTTCCTCCAAGCCAGTCATGACTGACAGGAAGAAGACGAAGATGAAGCTGCTGCTCGTCATTCTGCTGGTGGTTGTGGCGGTGGTTGCTGCGGCCGTGGCCTCTTCGTTCCTAGACCCAGAGCTGTCATCCGAGTGGGAATCCTGGAAGCAGTTCTACGGCAAGGCCTCACAACCAGAACATACCAGCCCAAGGCTCAAGCTGTGTGGAGCCATTCTAGCTACAGAAGTGTAAAAACTGATCTTAGATGAATTGGACATTAAACTGGATGCGGTTAAGTTCTACACGGACAGTAAGGTCGTACTAGGCTACATAAACAACCAAACCAGAAGGTTCTACACCTACAACAGCAATAGGGTGGAACGCATCAGGAGATCGACGTAGTCGGAACAATGGAATTACGTTCCAACTGAACAGAATCCAGCAGATCTCGCAACCAAACCATCTGGCTGACGGGTCCAGCGTTCCTCTTACGACATGACGGTGGCCTATGTACTACCAAAGAGGCTTTTGGTCTCGTAGAATCCGAGTCAGACAAGGATATTCGTCCTCAAGTGACAACCTTGGTCACAAACGACCAAGAAGTCCAACTGAGTCCACACCATTTTGAACATTTCTCGAAATGGACGACGCTCATGCGAGTGATAGCACAACTAGCGCATATCACAAGCTACTTCCATCGCCCAAGGAGAGGCACCACTGGTAACTGCAATGGGTGGCATCAATGCACAATGCCACGCACTGAAGATGACCTTTCCAGAGCAAGGAAATTAATCTTCCGCTGTGTGCAACAGGCAGCTTATGCAAGTGAGATCCAGTCCATCAACAAGGGAGAAAACCTTCCTAGGGTCTGCACCATCAGGAAGTTAAACCCCAGGACGGACAAAGACGGCTTGCTCAGGATCGGTAGTCGGCTAGGGAATGCAAAATTATATGAGAATGAACGAAACCCCCTCATAATCCCGAGCCAGAGCCACATCTCAATTTACTTGTGCGCTACTACCACGAGAAGGTCAAGCACCAAGGTCGGCACTTCACAGAAGGAGCAATCCGATCTGCAGGGTTGTGGATCGTTGGAACAAAGAGGTGCATCACGAACACAATCCACAAGTGTATCAGGTGTCGCAAGCTACGTGGAAAACAGGAAAAACAGAAAATAGCAGACCTCCCAGCCGATCGACTCAGTTTGGAACCTCCCTTCACCTCTGTAGGAATCAACGTGTTCAGACCATGGACAATCATCTCCCGCCACACCAGAGGAGGGCTCGTGAACAGCAAACGTTGGGCAGTGCTGTTCACCTGTATGAATATACGAGCAGTGCACATCGAAGTCATCGAGTCCATGGACTCTTCGAGTTTTATAAATGCATTCCGGAGATTCTTCGCCATCAGAGGGCCAGCCAAGTAACTCTCTTCTGATTGTGGAACCAATTTCACTGGAGCATGTAAAGAGCTTAAGATCAATACGGAAAATGTTGAAGATGATTCTGCAGGGAAATACCTTAGTGACCAAGGCTGCACATGGATCTTCAATCCGCCTTACTCTTCGCATATGAGTGAAGCCTGGTAACGCATGATCGGGATTACTCGACGCATTCTCGACTCCATGCTGTGTGATGCCGGGTCCACACGGCTCTCTCACGAGGTCTTGACCACTCTTATGGCCGAGGTCTCAGCTATAATTAACTCAAGACCCCTGATCCCCAGTCTCAACCAACCCGGAGTCACCATTCAACTTGACTCCTGCTACACATCTTACCCAGAAGACAGACTTGCTTACAGCACCCACTGAGGAAGTCAGCACTGCAGGCAGGCCTCTACAGACGGCAATGGAGACAAGTGCATAGCTTTGCCAACACGTTCTGGCATCGCTGGAAAAACGAGTACCTTATGACGCTTCAAGTGTGCAGCAAGTGGCAGTCGAACAGACCAGACATCCAAGAAGGTGACCTCGTCCTACTGAAGGACAACCAAGTCAAACGGAATGAGTGGCCAATGGGCCGCATCCTCAACACGATTCCCAGTGCCGATGGAAAAGCTTTAAAGGTCGAAGTTATGATTGCGAAGCAAGGTGTCGCAAGAACTTTCATCAGGCCCATAGTCGAGACAGTACTACTTATCTCTCGCAAAGATATGGACAAATAAGTTGACCCGTTGAAGTTCTTTATACATTAATTTTTGAGATAGAAAATAAATGGTGGTATCTCCTAGATACCAGACGGGGAGTGTTCTGCCTCATGGCAGGGCGTGTGTACACAGGAATTTCCTGTTTTGATGCTGAATTTGGTCACGTGACCAGGAAGTTATGATTGGACATCCTCTCAACCACGTGGAGGGTATCAGCCATTACACAGAGTACAAAATGGAGGCACAAATAACGTATCAGTGAAGGCAGCTGCATCTGTTCATTGTGGGACTTTAAGAATCATTGTCTGCAAGTTCGTTTTGATCTTATAATACTGGGAATTCTTTTATGTTAGAATGACCTTTATAATGCTGTAAATGCCTTTATAATGCTGTTAAATTGTTATGATAAAAAACAAGGCCTAGTTAACAACGAAGCCTGCCACTTGCCTTATTGTGAATGTTACTTGTAATTCAATAAGTCGAGTCAGACTTGTACCCAAGTAACTATATTGCGATCTTGAGAGCAAGGATGACGAAATGTCTCATTCACAGTTCAGTGTTATATGCAGTGCTGTACATTTGGGGTGCAGTGTGATGATTACACGATGTGCCTTTATTTAACACAGTAGCGTATTCTCTTGTATAGCTATGCAGTACTAATGTAGGTGCCTGGTCCATCCAGGATATATTGTTGAGTTTCATGTTATCTAAGACCAGGGGCGGTTTCTTCATTAGGGCGATTGGGCGACGCACCACCAATGTCATTCAACCACAGAGTCACGCTAGCCGTCACTGTGCCTCTGGATATAGTCCAATCAGCGTCATGCTATGTTCTGTGGAGTACCGCCTCTTTTTGGGCGATTTCCCTCCAGCTGAGAATCGCCCCGAGTGGTCCCATAGACTTACATTCAAAGATGTTTTTTTTTTCGAACGGGGGCGCTGCAATGCATTCTCTATGGCTTCCGGGAGGGCTCGCCCTAACGTGCTTACGTCATCATACGTGCTTACGTCATCATACGTAAGCACGTTTCATCCAACAATATAATTTGTCGCCACCTAGTGGAATCTTTAATAAAAGAAACTTGAGTGGTTTGTTTTAATAGTGAGTATAGAAACAAACAAGATGTATTGTAAGAGTCACTTTATTTTTCATTAATATTAAAGAAGTGAAGTTGCCTTTACATGCTTAAGCTGTTAATGTATCCATTGCATGGGTGGACCTTATCCTTATCAATCATCCAGACATTTGCCCCCCCTGAGAGATTTTGCAGGAGCCGCCACTGTCTAAGACAATGTTATGATGCTGTAGTGTTCATTCATTGTATTGATATTTCCAAGTATTAACAGATGCTGTATTTGTGCTGTGTTTTTCCATCAGTTTTACATCGTTCAATTCATTAAATACGTTTGGAGTCGGATTTTCATCCTGGCTCTGATGGTTTATTGGATGCGAGGTTATCTACTCGGATAGTGATGCAACGCATCGCACAGCGAGGCCGAGACAAGAGTTGTTATAATAATCGTGTTGCCTTTAGCAGACGTCTCCGTGTGGTTAGTTATAAGACACAACAGCTGCACACTCGCAGGCCGCCGAATCTTTGATGCACCGTTTATGCATCAGGTGGCCGCATCGGCCACACGCCCCTTGGCCCTGATTTGGTTGATGGTCGACCATTGGCGGTGTGGAAGGTTTAAACTGGGAGGTTCAATTGTAGGGTCCCATACGAGATGTTTATTTCTGACATCAGCCACAGTCCAGACTTGCTTCCATCTCTTGCCTTCATTTATATTTGTGGCTGCTGTGATCCAGAAGGGGTGGCGTGATTTTAGGTGAATAGGCAGCACTGGGTTTATGTCCTGATGTATCGGAAGGTACAGGTTGACGATCATTTTTTGGTACTCCTGGACGGCCGCTGTTTCATGTCGCATGACATCTTAGGCACTGTCATGCGGCGTTAAGATCCTCACAGATTCACTCAACCCCCACACCCCCAGCACTGGATAAAGCGGATGAGTGAATGGTTGGTGAGTTGCGTAGAGCAGCTCCATAGTGTCCGTGCGGTAAAACGCCAGAAGGCCCCCATCCCAGTGCAAGTGAACGCCGATTCTCCCGGGAGGTTCCATCATCAGCAGCGTGGCCTCTACCCCACCATGACTCACTGAAAAGTAGTGGCAGTGTTTCTCCAAGCACCAGGATGCATCGCCCATTCCCAAGAAGCATGCAGGATCTTTCCCTTTCCGCGGGATGGTGCCGTACGCGACTCCGACCCGACACCAGCGAGCACCCCCCACGTCCACCTCCCAGTAGTGCTCACCCCCTGAGAAGCTCTGGCAGCACAGGGCTTGTGTGAAGTGATCAAAGCGGTTTGGGTGATCGAGGCGGCCCTGTGAGTCATGGGTCACCGTCATCATCCTGGCATCCGAGGAAATCAGGAGACGGTCATGGGCTGAGTTTATATCCAGAGTTGGCGAGCATCCAACTGTGAAGATAACATCATGATCGAATTATTAGGTGTGTTCATATCGTGTTGTCTAAATATAACTGTGTCTATCTTCCATAATGCATGTTTTTCGGGTTAGAGCGAGTAAATATATAAATGTGTCGTGAATCCCGCCACCACCTGACACAACCAATTAGTAAGGGTTGTCAAGTAAACATAATGCCAATTCGTCACTAGTACAGCACACCGGTGTGTTGGGGAGCCAAGCCACAACATTATAACCTGAGTATCATGTTTCACAAGTAATTACAACTAGCTTCATCAGACGACAGCCAGATTTGTGAAGAAGTCCACCTGTTTTGTTCCTTATATAGAGGCGTAGATGTGATGACAACACTTGTGCGCTCTTCTTGCGCAAAGTGTGGGGGGATTAATGAGTCAACGTACATTATGCATGCGCATTATGCGAGCTCATTTATCTTGTACTTCCTGTCCATTGTGTGTACTAAAATTGCTGTACCACCGGTAATCCCTATTGAAGTATGGTGGCCTGTATAGGCATGCATTTAAACAATGTATTAGTTGATGATTCGCTTTCACGCAGCACTAAGTCGTTAGCTTACCGAACGGATAAAATTATTTTATTTATTTAAATTTCAATAGATTATCAAATGAGTCTTGTCCAGTAGTAACTAGTTTTGCACAGAACTTCAACATTATCAAAATTCATTGAGTGTCATTGTTGGCACGCGTGTTCTGCTACTTCTGACAGTTGTATTTGGGAGTATTTAATATTTCTATGGTGTTCTTTTAGTCTCGTGCTAATCATACGGCCTGTTTGCCCAAAATAGAATTAGCCACAAGTGCAATTAATCCGGTACACATATTCTGTCGATATCTTTGGTAATACATATTTTGTACCAGATACACTTCTGTATTTTACGTACCGTTTTGTTTTGTTCCAAACATATGGCTAGTTTATCAGTTTTAATTACTTGGGCAGTGTCAATGCTCGTGTTATTTGATTTGACTTTGGCATTCAATGCCCTGTTAATTTGTGCATCATTATAACCGTTCAATTGCAGCACTTCTTTAACATGTTTAATTTCACTTCTCAGACTATCACTATCTGACACTTTGTTAGCCCGATGAATGAGCATCTTGATGAGAGCAGATTTCTGTGCAGGGTGATATTGTGACTCTGCATTCATATAGGCGTCAGTCTGTGTTTTATTTCGGTAAACGCTGTGTGTTATTTTACCATTTCGACCCTGTCCGAGCAGAATATCCAGAAATGGTAGATTACTGTCAGCTTCCATTTCCATGGTGTGCTGGATGGATAGGTTTTGCGAATTAAGTTTATCTTTGCCGTGCGGCCAGACCACCAATCTGTCATCCACATATCTAAACCAAGCAGCGGGTTTTAGTGTGCTTGAAGCTATTGCTTTTGTTTCAAAATCTTCCACGTACAAATTCGCTATCACAGGAGACAAAGGAGAGCTCATTGCTGCCCCTTCCTTTTGTTTATAGAAGTCCCCTTTCCCCAAGAAGGAGGTGTTCTTTAGACAGTGTTCAGCTCGTAGTGGGATATCATTGGCTAAACCTGTGTTCTTTACCAGAGTGTTGAGTGATTTAATTGACTCGTTAACCGGAATCCTCATTGAAGTTACATCAAAACTTACGAGAATATCATTAGGGTTAAACTTCATATCTTTAATGATATTTAGGAGATGTTCAGAGTTTTTGATGAATGAAGAGGTCCTACCGATGTAGGGCTGTATTTATTTCGTTACATATTGAGGCGAATTTGTATGTGGGTCTAAATGGGACATCAGGTTTGTGAATCTTTGGTAGCCCATAAAGTCTTGGTGGTTTTGATGCCCTTGGTTTGATCAAGTATTGCTCTTCCTTGGGAATTGATGACTTGGCAATGATTGACATTTTTTATGTTCCAAGGTGTTGGGTGGGTTTCGTTTAATTTTAAGGTAGGTACCTTCATCTAGTAAATCTTTTGACTTTATTATCGTAATCCTCACGGGGCATCACAGTTGATCGGCCCTGATCAGCAGTAGAATTTGGAAATCTTTATTTACTCTCAATTCTCTTAAGACTTTTGTTTCACTGAAGTTAATATTTGTTTTTGACAATTCACTGTTCTCATTCATTTTTACAACCTCATGCCTAGTCATCTCAGCTTGGTTATGTGTGGGAGATGTCTAATTGTCGATTCTACTTCAGCAATTATCTCTTCGACAGGGATTTACGTGGGGCAACAGCAAAGTTAAGACCTTGAGACAGGACTGAAACCATATCGGTGAACGTCTGATCAGCACGAGACTGAAAGAACGCCAAGGGAATATTAAACACTCCCAAATACAACTGTCAGCAGTAGAAGAGCACGCGTGCCAACAAGGACACTCAATTTATTTAGATAACTAGCCTTTTGCCCGTCCAAGAACGGGTGTATTGCAGTAAATCTGAAACTTGCAAGCGAAAAGCAGACCGCGACGTGATATTCATTGCATCCATTCGTGTGCAATTTTTAAGGCCGCGGTGACACAGACATTTCATTTAAAGGTTATAATCCCTTGCTCATCATGACGTCCTTTTTACTTCTATGTCTCATTAGCGTTACAGAAATCGCGTGACGTGAGGGTTCTGCATTTGTAGTGTGTTACAAGTTGAGGCTGAGAACGTGGGAGGAGGTGCATTGCCCCCCCATGTGGAGTGATGTCACCCGCTAATTATTATTAATGGAGGGGGGGGGGGGGTCCATTTGGAGGATGTCACCTGTTCATGATTTTAATGAGGGGCGGGTCCATGTGGGGGACGTAACCTGCATTTGCGCATTCACACAACATCATTGGTCCAAGCAATTACATCTGCTGGACTAAATAGTTACGAAACAGTGAATAGGGGCCCATGTACTTTTGACCAGGACATACCATGGAAGTCATATTCCTACTGACCATCCACTTGTCACCTGTAAGATGCACCGACCATACGTTCATAGTGGCGGCAGTCATCTATCAAAGACCCCAACACAGCAAGTTGGTACAGTGAGAAGACAGGTAGTGCATCTGCCAATCATCTCAGTCGATCAACCGTTCGCACCTCGGTTTGTCCCATGACCTCATGCCAGCGAGCCTTCGACACTTCTCGTGGCCTCAAGGTGATTGGTGCAAACTTCATGGTGATGCCACCACCACTCAGTTGTGAATGGCGGTTGTTATTTATTAATGTCTGTGTCTGTTTGTTTGTGTCACGCCACTTATTTAAGGTCCGAAACTGAAGTTATTTTTTATGTCTGCCAACTGCCTGATGATGCTCATTGTAATGATTGGAGGAGCTTTGGGAGACCCTTGTTGCCACCGGTACCAACAAATAATGAAAAAATATTAGACTTTAGCCTTTGCCTACAATAATATAGGTGTTAAGATGATCAAAAATAAGAATAGGTTTTACCCTTTTTGGTAATAAAACAGGAGTTTTGTTTAGATGTTCAAACACCAAATAGATACATTTAGCAAAGCATAAAGTCTACATTAACCACATACTTGTGGCAAAACATGAAAACAAACATGCTCTAATAATTGTGTAACTGTGTAACATTTTTTTATTTTGTTCCTGGGTAGTAAGTGTTATTTCCTAATTGCTTCTGCCTAAAAGTACAGAAAATGGCTATTATTCCCCACAAACTTTGCTTTTGTGACCAGGACAGAGATATTTAGAAATGTACCTAATTTCCAGAACATTCCAGATATATTCAGTGCTGAGTAAACTTTGAGTAACTTCTAGAAGATTCTATAACTTTCCAGTAATATAAATAGTATAAATACAGGGGCCTTAAGCCCACCAGTTCAGTTTAGTTCCAACTGCCTAAGTGGATACATATCTGCATTTTTCTGAGATGGCATCAAGAGGCTACAAGTATCTGGCAGACGCATTTTGATATGTCTGCGGCCAATTTATCAAGACAATAGCGAAAAAGTACTCTGTGGAAGCATCTGCTAAGATGTGTGAGGCCGACAAGGCATATTTCGGCATGCCTGTCGGGGATCAAGACCAAAACTGGGCACCTCATTGCACTTGCGAGCAATGGACAATTGTGAATCGGAATTTTATGTTATAAAATTTATAAAATTGTAAAAGTTTTTAATTTAAATGTTTTACAATTTTCAATGTTATTGAAAAAATATATCATATATGAAAAATGTTGCAAGAATCTCTTACACATTAGTCATG